GAATAGGGAGTTATACCAGAAGCATAACTCGAGCAAATATTTGTCCGCGTTTTTACAAGCGATTCGTCATCAATCACGCCATCGTGGCTAGTACAACCGGCACTTTGTACCTACCAAATCCTGATAAAAACTTCCGGCTGTACTAGCCAGGATGGCGTGGCCTGACGTGAGCGAGTTAAAATTTTCGTGGACGTCAAACAATAAGGGAAACGACTAGAGTTACGCTTCTGGTATAACTTCCTATTCTGTGGCCGTAGCGACTTGTTGAAACAACCCGCTCCAAACCTGTTACCACAGAAGAAGTATATACCAGATGCGTAACTTAATAGGACTTCGTGTCCTCAAATTTCCTTAGATGTACACGTCATGCTCACGCCATGACACTTGCTAGGAAGATGGCGTCCTGGAAAACATGAACTTTTGCATTTTATTGCGGCTTTCTTGGATCGAAATTTATGGATTTAACAATCAAGAGCATCATTTGTTGAATGTTTAAAGTTGTTAAAAGCAATTAAAGTTGTAGTAAAGGTGTTGAAAACATTTTTGAAGGCAATGACGTACTACCAAATGACGAATAATCACGCGAGCGACACTTGCTAGGAAGATGGCGACCATGGGACAACTTTTTTACTGAAGTTACACATCTGTCCTTACTTAATCTATGCTGTTACTAACAAGAGATAACAGGTCTGATAGAACAACTTGCAGCAAGTCTGTTGAAATCAACAGGTCTGTTCCAACTTGTTCCAACAGACCTGTCGCGAGTTGTTTTTGTCGAGGGGCATTTCACTCCAAAAAAGCGTACGGGATTTTCGGATTTTTAAAAATCCGCGGATTTTTTAGCGGATTTAGCGGATTTTTCCCGGATTTTTTAGCGGATTTTTGAAGAGAAAATTGCTGGATTTTCCGGATTTGTTCGGATTTTCCGGATTTGTTCGGATTTTTTCTGGATTTTTGAAAATCTGTTGGATTTTCCGGATTTGTTTGGATTTTCCGGATTTGTTCGGATTTTTTCTGGATTTTTTTTAATTATAGAGTTATAGAGCTAGGTAACGTTTTGAACAAATAATCTTAAGTTGTACGATGTCAACGTTATGCCAGGACGTCAGGGTCGAGCAGAGGACTGGGACTAGGACCACAGAATCTAACGAAGGCTGGGCATGCAGTCATTTTGTTTAAAATTCAAACAAGTTCATTATTCTTTCAAAAACAGTAAAAGACAATGGTG